TCCGTGAAAATGAAAAAAAAACTTAAAGAGTAACCAATGTTTCCAGACTATGTTCTACATGTCAAATTCAATCAACACCAGTTGCGCCGTTCTTAATAAACTTAATATTAAACACCCATCCATCCAAACATTCGAAATATTAGTAAGATAATTTATACCATATTGCATAACACCATCCAGTGCATCGGTAACAACAGCACATTGCGTCCTCGACCCGCCGCCACACAAAAACCTAACATAATACTAAATTGGTTTATTCTGAACTAGCTTCTACTATAAAGACAATATTATGTCATACATTGTTTTAGTACTAACAATATATTTAAACCAAACTATCGTAGATTTAGGAACAAATGTCGATCAAAAAATATAAAGCAAACTTAAACCTTTGATACTAATATTGAATTCTCGAGTATCTTGGTATATACGTACAAAAATACATTGAATCGTCGACGCGAGTTTATTTGGTCAGTACAGACATAGCGTAACATGTCAACTGTAGATTTGCTCCGCCATCTTGAAAATCGCAACTTTTATATCATAAGATGGCAAACGAGCGTGCGGCCTCAAAATCGACGATAGCTTAGCAACCGTTGCCCATAGACATGCGCAAGAAAGGGAATATTATCCCTTCCCATTCATCCTCTCATCCGAAAAAACCACTTTCACTTCCTTTCCTTATAAAAAAAAGGATGTGAAGGAAAAAGGACATCAGACTACAGGCAGAATTGTTTCTACTTGACGCCTGTCTTCTGTGTGGTCGTGGTATTTCACCGGGCAAGCTGGGACAATTCCTGCGAAGATGTTAAAGCGGTTGTTAATATTTCATTCATCCCACTCGACTATTTAATTTGTTAATATAACAACATTTCGAATCATTAGAAGATATTTGTTGTAGGCGAAATAACGTCTGTGATTTATCTTGTATTGTGTTTAAATGAACACTAAATGTTAAACATATTCCGTTATGATTCATACATAATCTGTAGGATTAGATAAATTAATCTTTGTATATTCGTCCGTCGCGCAATTAAAAAAAAACAATTAGTAGTCTATGCGTTCTTCCAGACTATGTATGCCAAATTTCATCGAGATCCGTTCAGCCAGTCTGGAGATACCATCAGACAAACATCCATCCATTCAAACATTCACATTTATAATATTAGTAAGATAAAATACTTCCAAATAAGTAGATGAAAATATAAAACAATATATTACTATTGTTTTTCTAATTAATCATTTATTAACAGCAAAGAACAATTGGCGCCAAAATGCAAATGTCACTGTTAACCTATAACATATGTTTGATGTCAATGTTCGCGCCAAAATATCTTTAATAGTACTGGAAACTTTCTAAAACTATCAAATAAAATTTTGAACGTAACGAATCTCTATTTTATGTTTATAATATACAAATGTTTAGAAAAATATGAATATAAATTATTTGTACAATAAAATAACAAGAAATGTAATGGCAACACTAACTAATCGATATTGTTAGAAATGCTATGATTAATTTGTGAATATAAAAGATTGTATGAAAGTATAATTGAAACTGAAGAATAAGCATTTATGATTTTTTAATTTTTATGAAAAAAAGTGAAATGCTGCGCCAAAAAAAATATTTTTTTCTAATTTTATTTTCTGAATACAATTTCAAAATTGTACGCCTTATTTTGAGCATTAGAGTTAGTTTGTTATCATTGCACAATCGATAGATGGCGCTGTTCTTAAACTTAAATAACTTTCTAATCTTACAAGTTACTAATATCGAAAAAAAACATGTTTGGTACACATCATTGCCAGTAGCGATTTTGGCGGGAAGGTAGGTGATACATGTGGCATTTTATACCTAGGTTACTTTTTGAATCCTACACTGAAGAAGTCGCGGGCGACCGCAAGTTAATAATATAGTACATCTATACGAACAATCCTCAGTTAACTTTACCATGTAAACGTCAACCTTGGCATTTGTTCTTGACATTCACATTTCCTATGAACAATCTTGACGCTAGGGGGCGTTATTAAAATAACCCACATTGTATTCACACCTGCATCAATTGTCATTATTAGTAAACTAGCTGTAACCCGCGACTCTGTCCGCGCGGAATTAAAAACAAACATAAAAAGTAGCTTATGTGTTCTTCCAGACAATGTTCTAAATCCATGCCAAATTGCAGTGAGATCCATACTGCAGTTCTGGAGATACCTTCAAACAAACATCCATCCATCTAAACATTCGCATTTATAATATTTGTAAGATTATCGATCGCATTATTATCTCTAATTGAATGTAATAGATGCTTCCTCTAATTTATTAAAAGGTCATAATATGAATAAAAACTAGGAATTAATTAAAAAGCTCATGTTGCCCATATAAATCTAATTAATGAGTTAAGTATTCGACCTCTTTGGTAGTCAAGGAGTTTAAACAGCCAAGGAAGTACTGGCCACTAAGAATGTTACATATTTTATGTAAAAAAACGTGCGTGAATTGCGCGGGAAATAATAAACTGAGAGAAATATTCCTGTCAATAAGACAAAACAAAATTATAGTGCAGTGTGATTAAGCGACAAAATATATATGTTCTTATGGAAGCTGAAAATATTTCATTGTTTCAGTATTTAGAAATATTGCGACTTGTAATTACACAAAACGGGCAAACTATTTACAAAGTACAGTCTCCTATGTTGGAGGTGTCTCATATTAAGAGACGTATTTGAGCGTCTCCTACATCTTAAAACAATAAACTATGGTTTATTATCTATGGTATTGATTGTTTCAAGTGCTAACGTCATTAGTCAAGTAATTCGTAATTTAAGTGATTGTATGGTACGATTGTATACGCGGTGTGGTGTTGGTGAGCCGTAAAATTCTCCAAAACCTGAGACGTTACAGTTTAACAATGTAAAAATATGATATAGTCAGAGATAAAGTAAAAATAACCCACTGTAACTATACATATAAAATAATACTATACTACTAAGTATAGTATTATTTTGGTAGATTAAATTTAATTTAATTAGTCACTTAATAATTAATATAGAGGTAAGTAATTTAATAATAAGTTTATGTATATATTATTAAGTTATTATATTTTTCAATTGCTAAATAGTTATAGTTACATGTTATCTATTAATAAAAATCATATATACTATGGTGTATAGTTATAAGACAATTCACGCTTCAAAATCGATATTCAATTCTACCCACTGTTAATTTTTATTTGAATAAAAATCGAAAGCAGTCTTACTGGTTTTTTTGTAAGGTTCGAAGTAACTGTAACACCACAAAGGTATGCGACTGTACTTTTGAATCTAATGTCAGTCGACATTTCGCAAATCTTATTTGACGCTTCATTTATCTCTAGTGCGCGAAACATGGAGAATAAACTCAGCGAACTAACGAACCTAATTCCTACTGCATTGCGACACTGATTAGCGTTACTCTGTGGACCTGTGCACCTCTTGCCACTGCTCTGGACACTACATGGTAAAGTTGGGTATACACTGGGTATAAACAGTGCGGGAAGTGTGGACAGAAAATGGCGCCATAGGTCTGCGAATTTCATAATATAACTTTAAACTTTAGTTGTTTTTAGTATAATAAAATTCGTAAAAATCGAGATTCTTATCACGATAAAGATGTTCGAGTTCCCGATATTTCATAAAAAGAATCCCGTTTCTTACGAATGTTACTGTGAATTTCAGTTACACATATCACCCCAAAGGCATGGTTGATAGGGGGTGTCGTAGATATCTCGCTCAGGGCGCTCGTAAAGTTAAAACTGGTACTACCCTTAAAATAACGTTTTGTAGCAAAAGAATGGAAAATGTACAACAAGAAAAGGTTTACTATTAACATACTTATACTTTGTTATTCCCACCATCTATTCCTGTTTTAGATTTAGTAACATACATGCATCGGTTTTATTTAAAATATGTCTTATTATTTTGAAAACAATAAGGTTTTGACCATTATGTTATAATGAAAACATTATACGTTCCATCGAATTATAATTTCTGATGATGTTTTAAATACCTCTCAGTGTATCACCATCTTTATGAAAGTTATGTACGAGTTTGAAGGAGTGTTATTTTCATCATTAATATTCCTTTCCACTTGCCAATAGATCATCTGCGAATCATTAGTTCTAATGCTAAAGTTGACAGAGATACACAAAATTATATGATCTGTAAGTATCGTATTAAAAACGCCTTTAACAAAATATAATAAACCAAAATACCTTGAAGCAAAAGAATAAAAAAATAATTTGTAAATGATACGACCATTTGCTAATAATAAAAATGTAAATATAAAATTATTAATATTTCGATCATTTTAAAAATACCAAAAGCTCTCATTTCGTGTTTGATAATTTATTTGTAACTAGATGGCGTTGTTTCAGGTCAATAATTTGGATAAATTTTATAATATTGCTGACAGTCCTTTATAACTACGCAAAGTTTCAAATTAATCTGATAATTTGAAGTGGAAAAACAAACTTGGAAAAAGTATGTGTCATGTAACTTTGAAAGGCAAGCAAGTACTATGTTAGAACAGACCGACACTGGCACAATAATCCCCCGCATATGTCGCGGACTGTCTCTTCGGAAATTGACAGCTAAAAAGGCGGCAAAACTAGAAGCGACTTCGCGAGGCGAGTTCGCTCCGGATCGTACTTTGATATTTTTTTTAATTCATGATTCAATAGTATGTTATTTCAAAAAAAATCTGGCAGAATAGATAAACTTTTGACTGTTGTATTGTATACAAATTAAAAAAAATAACTGTCAGAAGTTGACATCTAAAAGAGCGGCAAAATTTAACGTGTCGGGTCTTCCCGCGTAACCCTTTCACTGCGACCTGGTGAATTAAAGCCCCAAAAAGTGTCCGGTAGTACCCGGAAACATCCCCACTGCACATCCCAATGTTTCGCAATGCCTCTTAGAAATACGATCAACTATAAAACGGCAAGATGTGCATTCTTCGTTCAGTTGCCATTTGAGATAACGCGCGAGCGCATGCGTGAACCGTGCTGTGAATACATGCTGTGTTGTGTTGTGACGAAAGGAGTTCATTGCAAACGTGAGACTTTTTTCACACTATTTAACCCGCGCTTTTTTTCTTTTTTTTTTAAATCAACAACCTTGACGTTTTGCGGCCAGGAATTAGTAATAAACTAGCAACACCATTGTTCGTCGAGATGCATTTCAGTGATAGGTTTTTAAACGTGTGTGTTTAAAATTAAAAATTTTCTCACATTAAATACATTTTATAATTTAAAAAAAACATTTATAGTAAAGTGTGTTCGTCTCTATCCGATTATTTCAAATGCATTCGACAAAAAAGGCATCATAACTTTTCAACTGCCTGACCTTTTATTTTTTGTAGTTTTAAAAGTAAATAAATATTTTATTATAAATTCACATAAAAGTTGTAATAAAAAAGAATATAAGTGCCAATAACAATATTTTATTGAATATAACGGCGAAACAACTCGATCTCAAATTGTTAAAACAACAGTATTGTATTCTTAGAGTTTATAGTTCGATTCCCAAATTAAAATTTTCAATGTTAAGTTTTCATGAAATGCGAAGCGTCAATAGCCTAATGGTTAAGAATACGGATTTTCGATCGGTCGGGGGTTCGAATCCCGCCATTCGACTATTGTCGTAAACCATATCCTAGCACAAGCCTAGAGCTTAGTTAGAATGGTAAAAAAAATATTAGTAAATTTACAAAAAATCTGGTAATGTTTATTAAAAAAAACAGGTTTCTGAACGATATTCGTACATTAATTTTTATTATAAGATAAAATATATAGTAAATAATACATAAAATAAATACAGTAATACACCATAATAATAAATTTATATTTGCGCATAAAACCTCTTATTATTCCTGAAAAAAAAAACTTAACTTCAGTTCGTTTTTTGAACGATCCAAAAGTGTTTTCGTCTCGCTAATATTTTCATGTACACTTTTGTGTTTTTAGTACAATTGTATGTTAATTATTTTCTCACGTAGTTCATAAAAATTTAAAAATAATTATTAACTAATCAAGGAAATGCTTTAAAACCTTCAAAATCATTCAAAACGAATTTAATATTTCATGTTCTGTTCTGGAGATACATTCTTACAAACATCCATCTAAACAATCGCATTTATAATATTAGATTACTAAGATGTAAACAGTATCCTATAATTTATTAAGATCTATTGTCTCTCTCATTTTCTTTGTAATAACTGTGATAGCACTATTCTGTGTTGTAGAATAACAAACGTCTCTGAACACGCCAACAAATGGAATTCACGATCCTGACATATGAACAGAAAACGACACAACATATAAATGAAGGACATATATTTTCAATATATTTTCATACCAACATAAATGACAATCCATAAAATGTATAAGACATTTCGTACACGCTTTTATAAGCGTCGGTGGATCAGGGGTTTGACCTGACTTGCAATCAACAGATCCCGGGTTCGTATCTCACCGTGTACCAATGTGTTTTTCGATACCTGAATTACATGTACATTTATCCGACGTTCATACTGTAAAAGAAAACATTGTGATGCTTGCAAATATCTGAGAATTCAAAGATATGTGTGAAGTCAACCCGCACTGGGTCAGCGTTATGGCCTAGTCATTCCTAACTTAGGGTAGGCTCAGAGCCCCTCGGTGTGGACGTATGAATGTTGAAAGCCTTTTGATTTTCTACACAACTACAAAAACGATTCCTAAAAAATTGATTTAACTTGACTTAATGTCATATATCCTCACTGTGTACCTGTGCCCCACTAGCACAGGGGTCCCTTTATCTTGGCCTCTGCATTTGATCCCTAAATTCCTTAAAGACTCAATTTAAAAAAAATTTTTTATAAGAAAATTTTAGTATTTATTTTACATAATTTATAAGGTGGCTAGCTAGCAAGCGGCATCGTAAATTTGTCAAAATATCGAAGCGTCCGCTGCCCATACATAAATGCAGATGGGTTGCCTATCCTTAATCTACTGAGAGGACGCACAGAAAAAATAATTCGCCTTCCTGTTCGTTTTCCTCTGTCAAATAATAATGATTATTTACTAACATTTAATACGGATTCAAACCCTTGATCTGTAATCCGGACTCTCAACAACTAAGCCATTGGCGATTCATAACTTAACATGTTTCGTGTGTTGTCAGATTTTACAAATTCCTTCATTTCTAATTTGATTATTTTTTATTTAACTTAGACTTCCAATGACAGGACCTGACAATTGTAAAAATTCCTTCTATAAAATAAAACACACAATATGTTCTATACTTGCTTTCGTGTGTGCTAGTTTTGTGTGTGCACATTTTTATTATACGTTCATAAAGATGTTTAAAATTTTTGTATCAGCATGCACAATTGTGATTGGCATCTTTACCTCACACTACAACAGTGGATCTTTGCATGGTCCTTTTTTATATATTCAAAGTTTATTAATAAACACTAGAAGCCGTTTGAATCTAATAATATTTACGGTATTAATTAAAAAAAATATTCGAATTTTGATAACGGTTTTGCTCGTAAATAATTTCTTGAATGTTCAAATTAATTGAAAATGCAGATTCAATTTATGTTTATAAAAACAATTTGCGAAAAATCTTACTAATATTGTAAATGCGACTGTTTAGATGTATGTCCTGAACGTTTATATGGATCTCGCTAATTGGCACAGATGTAGTTTTTTTAACGGACGTACGGAGTCGCGGGCAATAGCTAGTGATGAGGAATGCGGGCTAATTAAAATATCTCCGATTTAATTTTGAACGAAAATCAATTTCCTTTGCAATTTAATATGACTTTATCTCACTAGTGTCTATAAAAAATAATTTATAATAGTAAAATTGCAACTACATTTTACACTAGCTGTCCCGCGACTGCGTCTGCGCGGAAATAAAAAAAAACTTAATTGCCTATGTGTTGTTCAAGACTTTCTTCTATATATATGGCATATTTCAACGACAACCATGCAGCGTCCTAGAGATACCTTCTAACAAACGACATTTGAAATGTAGCTTAAAGTGCGTAAGAGCTATAGCAAATAATAAAATCTTTGTGTACCAACATTTTACGGTGGGTTTCTGAGACCAAAAACGCATTTTAAAACATATTGTTATATGTTATATACAGAGCTTTATGGTCTCAGAAACCAACAGTTTGTCCTTAAAAAAGATTCCATTTTTTTGGGATTGTTGTCAAGCGCTATTTTATGTCAATAGGAAGTCGAGGTGTTGGTAAACATAAAAATAACAGATGCCGTTATTTAAAAAAAAGTGCAAAACATATTTTTTTGTATAGAAAAATTATTAGCAAAAATCCCATTCCACAAGTTATGAGTAGCAATTTACTCAAATTTCATCCGATGATTTAAATGCAAATTTTAATATTTTGTATTACTAGAAAACTTTTAAGCAATTTATGGAGTTATATCTTACTAATATTATACATGCAAGTGCATGGATGGATGGATGTCTTTGAGAAGGTACCTGTAGAATGGCTGCATGGATCGCGCTGAAATTTGGTATAAATTACGTTTTTTTTTAACTCCGCGCGGATAGAGTCGCGGTTCACAGCTATAGTGTCATAAAGGTAATCGTATTGCAAACACCTGGTCCAAAACAATGGCATGTCTCTATGAAAAAACAAAAACAATATGAAAAAAAACGCAGAAAATAAATATATCATTAATTCGTTTTTTTCTTTTCACAGGTGTGATATATCAGCATGGAGTACTTAATGAAAAAGGTAAGTTAACATAAATATAATAAGATCCGTTAAACGTTCAGTTTATACTCCAAAATAGAGTAAAACACGTGTTTAACCCTTTGATCACCGGTGATTGTTATTATGGTTATCAATATGGTTATAAAAGAGTATGTTTTACCCTTAAATATAGATAAGAAAGTAAGATAATTTCTTTGGGAACATACATTTCAAAGATATGTGTGAATTTCCTCGAGAAAAATTCTCAGACGCGGCTCGCCATCCGTCACGTTCTATAGGATTGCGTAAGTTCATTTGGCCACGCTAAATGCAGATCTGTGGTCTCTGCTTACACCTCTGTGTTACAGCCGTAAATAAAACACTGTCAAGTTTTATGGTTTTTAATAATGGTTAAGTTTTTAGGCTCTCATTGTTTATGTGCTATCCACGTCGTCGCCTACTGTTCGAAAATAATCTGTGATATATACACAAAGGCGTTGCTTAACAAAGAAACTGTCTAATTGTCCTCCATTTAACAGTTATAATGTCAATTAATGTACTATAAGACCGTGAGATATCATTTTTTATTATAAATTAGCTGTCGCCCGCGACTCCGTCCGCGCGGAATTGAAAAGAAACTTAATTAGTAGCCTATGTGTTCCTGACTGTGGTCTACATCTATGCCAAATTTCAGCAAGATCCATGCAGCTGTTCCGGAGATAGCTTTAAACAAACATCCATCCAAACATTCGCATCTTCTATATATAAAAGAAAGTCGTGTTAGTTACACTATTTATAACTCAAGAACGGCTTTACCGATATTGTTGAATCGGACGGAGTCGCGGGCGACAGCTACTTTATAATATTAGTAAGATTCTACTAGTCTTACAATGGTCATCAAGAATTAACTGTCGTAATTAATAGCTTCATTTTGTTTATTAACGTATCTTAACGTAAATTTCCATTGTCGAAATTACATTTCAAAATCTTGTGCTCTTAGTTAATATAAATGCCAATTGTTTGTATGTATGGATGTTAAAGTTATCTCCACAACTGTATGGCTCTGATTGAAATTTAATATAGATGTAGAACACTGTGTAGAAGAACACATATACTACTTACTATGTTTTTTTTATACCGAGTACACGATGTCACGGGTGACAGCTAGTCTGATTCATATGTATAAAGTCAATACAAAGAATTGAATAACCTCTAACAAATACATGACCTGTTAACCTAAATCCTAGACAATGAATATTGGATTTTTATATAAAAACATACATTCAATAAAACAATAAACAACATAACAATTACCATTATAAACCTATACAGTGGTAGAGCCCGCTTTAACATCTTCGCACGACTCGGCCCGGCTCGCCCGGTGAAATACTACGACCACACAGAAGACAGGCGTCAAGTGGAAGCAATTCCGCGTACAGTCTGATGAGTGTGCGTCCCGGAGGCCAAAATTAGTCCTCTTTCCCTTCCCACCCTTTTTCTTATAAGGAAAGGATGGGAAGTGGAAGTGGACTTTCAGGATGAGAGGATGCATGACAAGGGAAAATATTTTCTTTCTGTGCATCCTCTCCTCCGTCGATTAAAGGTAGGCAACGCATATGTAATTGCGTGTGTCTATGGGCAACGGTCGCTTCGCTATTTCAGCGATTTCAGGTGACCGCTCGCTCGTTTGCCATCTTGTGATATAAAAAAAAACAGTTAATAAAACTGGAGTATCTGCATTCTATTAAATAAATTTTTCATAAAGCCCGAACTTATAACATTTAGGTTACTTTTAACAAATCTAATTTTTCTCTGTCTGTCCGCAAGTCCAGGTTCGTTTCGTGTTATCTTACAAACAGCTGAACCGATTTTGTCGAGACCTAGTTATTGAAGAATTTAAAAAATAATGTCGAATAAATCTATCAATCGTTTTATAGTATATTTTATCATCATCAGCTAACTATACGTCCCCACTGAGCTCGGAGCCTACCCTAAGTTAAGGGTGATTAGATCATATTCAACCATGCTGGCCAAGTGCGGGTTGGTCGACTTCACAAATATCTTTGAATTTCTTCTCAGATATGTGCAGGTTGCATCACGATGTTTTCCTTCACCGTAAGAACGTCGGATAAATGTACATATGTAAATCGAAAAACACATTGGTACATGGCGGGATTCGAACCCAGGACCTGTAGATTGCAAGTCAAGTGCTTGACCACTGAACCACCGACGATCTATAATACATTTACATTTACAATATATTTAAATTACAGTTGATAGGCGATTATTTGGAAATGACAACTTTAGTTTCGTGCCGATTTAAACGCGCCTGTTGATAACGTGACAGTTTATTCTATGTCAATTATTAGTTCATATCAACACCACCGCTAAAAACCTCTACCATCAACGCTAAAATGTATATCAAATAGTCCCAAAATACAACGTCTTATAACCAGGCCATTTATTTACAAGACATTGTCGTATGTCGTGTCACTTTTCATTAATATAATTTAAGTGATGTCAAAATTATTTTAAATATGTTCTTCGAAGTTTAAAATCCACAGTTAACGCATGCGAATGAACTAAACTATCGGCAATCATAAAAAGCTATCAAGCATTTGTCTATAAAATGTGCGCCGGCGCATCGCGACCGAGTAATTTGAGTGTCATCACATGCATTAGGTATTGCAGGAGACCTTTATACTATAGTGATGTAACACAGTCTATTTTATCGATACTTTTGTTCGATTTACAGGAGTTTAATGGTTAGGTACTTATGTATGTATGAAACATGTTGATTAATTTTGAATTAGGTTTCATTGGACTCTTATTCTTTTCTCTATATTTTGTTTTAATTAATTAATAGTGGGTTTTCTTTTCGTAAATAAAGTAAAGCAGATTAAAATGACTTTAAAAGTTCTTTTTTTATTTCTAGATATTTCATATTTACTTGAACCTAAAAACTAATCAAATTAATAACACGCTAAAATTATCGATATGTAAGTCTTTTCTCGAACAGTTACATCACTATTATGATTGCAACATGAAAAACTAGTCGAAAGCTGTAAATTAAATAAAAGAAATAAAATTACGTTAATTTGTAATTACGAAATAACGTAATTTTTTTTTGTCTATGTGTAGAGAAAAAAAGATGCCATAGACATTATAAAACATTTTTACTTGCAACTAGCTGTTACCCGCGACTCCGTCCGCGGGGAATTAACAAAAAAACTTAATAAGTTGCCTATGTGATCTACGCAGCCATTCTGAAGATATCTTCAAACAAACATCCATCCAAACATTCGCATTTATAATATTTATAAGATAAAAATATCGGAAGTAACATACATCTAAATTGGCAGATAAAGGAACTGACTTCCGATAGAAAAAAAAAAGTTCCTTGGCCTCGAGTAATAAAAACACTAAAAAAAAACTTAATATGTTAATTAATTCCTTTAATAGTAATGTACACACATTTATGTGTACGGTCGCGTACATAAATGGTATTTATTAAAAAAAAAGTGGTTTTCTTCAACTTGGACATTCATGAAGACAAGTGTAAATTTTTTTGTCGTAATCTTATGCACGTACGTAAATATCAATAAAATTATCTTTACTAATACTTTGGAAAAATATTTGACAGATTATAAATTAATCTTAAGAGCGTCGATGGCTCAGGGGTTTAGGTACTTGACTTGTAATCTGCAGGTCCTGGGTTCGAATCCCGTCACGTACCAATGTCTTTTTCGATTTACATATGGACATTTATCCGACGTTCTTACGGTGAAGGAGAACATCGTGATGCAACCTGCAACATATCTGAGAAGAAATTCAAAAGATATGTATGAAGTCAACCAACCCGCACTTGAACAGCGTGGTTGACTGTGGCCTAATCACCTCTAACTTAGGGTAGGCTCCGAGCTCCTTGATGGGGATGTATAGAGTTACCTGATGATGATGAAATTAATCTTACTGTTACTAATATTATTAATTGGAATGTTGATATGGATGGACTATATCGCATAGATGTCGAACATAGTATGGAACAACACATAGGGTACTAATTCTGCGCGGACGGAGTCGTGGGCGACGTTCAAAATACAAGTAAAAGTATGGCCGAAAAGAGAAATTTAAAAAAGGAACCATTTAAAAAAAACATCGTTTATTTTCACAATCGGACGCAATAAAATAAATCGATTGTCAAGCGATGTGCGATGTTCGAATTCCGTGGAATCGATTTAAATAAAAGTATACGAAACTTTATGGGGGGTTTATTCTTGTATTGATCGTTAATGCACGTAACTGATAAAATCTATAGTTTTTTTTTATCGTATGGTAATGTAAGTGAAATTCGCTTACGAATGATCCACCTTATCTTTATTTGGTCGGATTGAAAAAGCTTTTACAGATTTGAGATATAATTTCAAGGTTCATATTAAATTATAGTTAGTGTCAATCATTTCCAGTTTATTTCACACAATTAAGGGGGATTTTCATGGCCGTAATGTGTGCAGAAATATATTGTTGTTTCAGTTCTTTTTAAAGCAAAAGAAAGAGACGACTGTATTATTCTGCTTTCGGCTTTTATTTTGTGCGCCGTTACTAACAATGTTTGTTAAAAAAAGAAAAAAACAGCCAGCCAATATTTTTTTAATATTTAATTTAATTTTAAAACGTTAAAATTTTGAATATGCTTAAATAATAAATACTTTCTTAGTATAATTTATTGTTCTCTCTTTGTCATGATGTTTCCTTTTATTTCCTTGTTTTTTTTTAATTACAGAAATTTAAAAGAATTTAAAGACAATTAAAAATGAATAATGTATTTAAATCTCTTTATTTATATAACGATCGTACACTCAATTAATCAAGCAGCTTAATTGACGGTTCAATCGATTCGATACTTCTTTTCTGACAGATCATTTCGGCCATCTTTGTTTATTTTGACAGCAAAGTTGCCGCCAAAATATATCGCCGTTGAGAAATTAATTTTCACAAACAATTAATACACGTTAAATGGTTTTTAAATTTAACTTATTAAC